CTTAGCGGTATATTTTCTTATGGTTTTAATGGTTGTATTCTCATTTTTTTTTTTTTTTTTTTTTTTTTTGTCTCACTTGATAGAATGGAAGATGTATTACAGAAATAGATACGATTTTGATTGGTTTCATGACAAAAAGTACCTTGAAATTGAGCTCAAAGTAGCAGAAATTTTCGATTTTTGCCGATGTTCGGTGAACTTTCTTGTGTAAGTCAAGTTGGTTAATTTTATTAACCCTTTGAGGGTTTTGGTCGTACTAGTACGTTTTACGCGTAGGGGTTTTTGACGTACTAGTACTCATAAATTCTAGCAGCCTCAAATCTAGTGGGAGAAAGCTGGTAGGCCTACATATGAAAGAATGGGTCTATGTGGTCAGTGTGCACAGTCTAAAAAAAATCCTGCAGCACACAGTGCATAATGAGAAAAAAAAAACTTTGACCATTTTTTTTTAATAAATCAGCGACTTTGCAGTGTATTTTTCGTATGGTATTTATTGTTGTATTCTAGTTTTCTTGGTCTCATTTTATAGAATGGAAGACATTTTACAGAAATTGAGATGATTTTGACTGGTTTTACAATGAAAGGTGCCTTGAAATTGAGCTCAAAGTAGCAGAAATGTTCGATTTTTACCAAACTTCAAAAGTAAACAAATCGTGCCAAGCGTGCAATACACGTCAACTGGTGAGTCTAATATTCTTTTACAAGTGCACCAATAATATTTATAACCATTTTTTACACTAATGCAGTAGTCTGCATAACAGTAAATCTTATATTTTTTGTGAGAATAAAAATTCAAAGTGGAAAGCAAAAGAATATAAGAGGGCCTTGAGACGTGACTAATGACTAGAGGAAATGTCATTTTAGTGCCAGGAATGTCTTTCTTGTTTATCTGGACCCTATTCGGAAATTGGCATTTTTTGAAATTTGTGTGAAATTGGCAAAATTACTAAATTCTGACCACTGTACTGGATAGTTGAATTTATAAATGGGTGGTTTCTTGCACCCATTCGATAGAAAAAATGGAGTTCTAGCGAAATATTCATGTTTTTTGTCGACTAGTACAGTGAAATTGGCCGAAAATGGGGCTCAAAGTGGGCAAAATCGCCGATGCGTAAACATCGCCGTGACCGCTAACTTTGCGAGAGCATAATTCCGTAAGTTTTCAATCAAATTTCAAACTTTTGGTGTCTTTATGATCGGGAAAAGATTCTCTATCTTTTCATAAGAGAAAATAATTTTTTTTTTTTTTAAATTTGGCCGACCCTGAGAACGAGTTTCGGAGAGGGCCTGTCGACCCTCAAAGGGTTAAGTACAGTGGACCCCCGGTTAACGATTTTAATCCGTGCAAGAGGGCTCATCGTTATGCGAAATAATCGTTATGCGAATGAATTTTCCCCATAAGAAATAATGGAAATAAAATTAATCCGTGCAAGACGCCCAAAAGTATGAAAAAAAATTTTTTTTACCACATGAAATGTTAATTTTAATACACACAAACTGAAAAAGGCATGCACAATTAAATGACACTTACTTTTATTGAAGATCTGGTGATGATTGATGGGATGGGAGGAGGGGAGAGAGTGTGTTAGTGTTTAGAAGGGGAAATCCCCTTCCATTAGGACTTGAGGTAGTAAGTCCTTTTCTGGGGTTACTTCCCTTCTTCTTTTTAATGCCACTAGGGCCAGCTTCAGAGTCACTGGACTTCTTTCGCACAAGATATCTGTCCATAGTGGCCTGTACCTCTCGTTCCTTTATGACTTGCCTAAAGTGTTTCACAACATTGTCAGTGTAATAATCACCAGCACGGCTTGCAATAGCTGTGTGAGGGTGATTTTCATCCATGAAGGTTTGCACTTCAAGCCACTTAGCACAGATTTCCTTTATCTTTGTAGTAGGCAATCTTCTTCAATTTCTTCTCTCCCCTCCTCTGAACATTTCCTCAGGTCTGGCCTCTTGCTCTTGAAGTTGATCTATCAGCTCATCAGTGGTTAGTTCTTCATTGTCCTCCTCCACCAACTCTTCCACATCCTCCCCACTAACCTCCAACCCCAAGGACTTTCCCAATGCCACAATGGATTCCTCAACTGGCACAGGATTCTCAGGGTTAGCCTCAAACCCTTCAAAATCCCTTTTGTCTACACATTCTGGCCACAGTTTCTTCCAAGCAGAGTTCAAGGTCCTCTTTGTCACTTCCTCCCAAGCCTTACCTATAAGGTTTACACAATTGAGGATATTAAAGTGATCTCTCCAAAACTCTCTTAGAGTCAGTTGAGTTTCTGAGGTCATTACAAAGCACCTTTCAAACAGAGCTTTTGTGTACAGTTTCTTGAAGTTGGAATAACCTGCTGGTCCATGGGCTGCAGGAGAGGAGTGTATTAGGAGGCAAAAACTTCACCTTAATGAAGCTCATGTCCCCATAAAGTCGCTCTGCCACGTCTGTAGGATGACCAGGGGCATTGTCAAACACCAGGAGGCACTTAAGTTCTAATTTCTTTTCAGTTAGGTAATTTTTCACATTGGGGGCAAATGCATGGTGTAACCAGTTATAGAAAAATTCCCTAGTGACCCATGCCTTACTGTTTGCCCTCCACAGCACACACAAATTATCCTTGAGGACATTCTTTTGCCTGAACGCTCTGGGAGTTTCAGAGTGATACACTAATAAAGGCTTCACTTTGCAATCACCAGTAGCATTGGCACACATCAACAAGTAAGCCTGTCTTCATAGGCTTATGTCCTGGGAGTGCCTTTTCCTCCTGAGTAATGTAGGTCCTGCTTGGCATTTTCTTCCAGAACAGGCCTGTTTCATCACAATTAAACACTTGTTCAGGTTTTCAGTCCTTCAGTTTCTATGTATCCTTGAATTCCTGCACATATTTTTCAGCCGCTTTGTGGTCCGAACTGGCAGCCTCACCATGCCTTTATCACACTATGGATGCCACTACGCTTTTTAAAATCTCTCAAACCAACCTTTGCTGGCCTTAAATTCACTCACATCATCACTAGTTGCAGCATTTTTTTAATTAAATCCTCATGCAACTTCCTAGCCTTTTCACATATGATCGCTTGAGAGACGCTATCTCCTGCTATCTGTTTTTCATTTATCCACACCAATAAGAGTCTCTCAACATCTTCCATCAATTGCGATCTTTGTTTCGAAAACACAGTTGAACCTTTGGCAAGAACAGCTTCCTTGATTGTCTTTCTGGTGCCCACAATAGTAGCGATGGTTGATTGGGGTTTCTTGTACAGCTTGACTAGGTCGGCTATACGCACTCCACTTTCATACTTATCAATTATCTCTTTCTTCATCTCTTTAGTAATTCTTACCCTTTGAGGTGTAGGGTTGGCACTAGAAGCTTTCTTGGGGCCCATGGTCACTTATTTTCCAGAAACAGCACCGAAAATACTGTAATAATACGAAATATTCCGAGTGTATGCTTGGATGTTACCGCGGAGGCTGGCTGGTAAACAATGGGACGGAGCGGCACATGTGAGGCTGGCTGAGGGCACATTGGACGCGTCTCGGACGAAAATCGGTATGCGGGTTTTTAATCGGTATGCGCGGCAAAAATTTTGCGATAAAAGTAATCGTTATGCGGAAAAATCGCTATGCGATGCCATCGTTATGCGGGGGTCCACTGTATATTCTAATCTAACCACCCTGTAATCCGGCAAACTCAATAATCCGGCACACTACAGGTCCCACTGAGGCTGGATTTGTGATGGCAGACCTGTACATTACATTTCCCTTGTAATTATTTTACAGACCCTTCCACAGGTACTTGATTAATTATAATGCTACATCTGCCATTGATACTGGTATATAAATATGTCACCAGACGAGCCTGGCCCATGGCCGGGCTCAGAGAGTAGACAAACTCTCGAAACTCTTCAGAGGTATATCAAAGGTATATATACCAGTAACTGAGAACACAAAATCACAGAATCATTATTTTTGTGATAATTAGTTAAGTATACTACTCGAAAGTTAGCAAGGTATACACATAGTCTCCTTAGCCAGAAAATTATACAAGGTTATACCGGTGTAGAAATGATTAGGATCCACTTGGAGAGTTGTGAAAGAGTTTGTCCAATATTTCTTGTCCTGAAGATCATTTTAACAGACCATAGGAATAGACCACCAGTAGATTGTCACAGGTTTGTTTAGCTAAAGAGGCAGCAGTAAAATAACACCATATGGTTTCTTATTAAAAGTATTATGAAACCTTAAGTGAGGAGTTTTATTTTTATGGAGAAATTACATCTGTTAGTATCAGTTGTTAGTGATGGTGCATGTGGCAGTGAAATGCTTCATATTTAGACTAGTGTTATACTTGTCAGAAAACTTAAGATTAATTATTTTCTTAAATAAAACTTTGGTTTTCTTCCCTAATAATTTAAGGCACTTTGAAGGTTGACCCATATTATTAAGATATCATGGTCCTACCTCTGAAAATATAACAAGGTATGCTTATGCAATACTGTTAATCCCTCCCCATTATTGATTATACACCTGACTAACCAGTGTCATTATGGAAATCTGGTAAATCATCCATGCTAAATACAAAAAAAAAATAGTATCCATAACTGCAGAACATTTGTTGATGTATACATGTGCATAAAATACAGTAAATAGTATACACTGCTCAGTAGTGTTCCCTACTTTTGTGTGATCAGAGTTACTTGGAATCAGTATCTATTTTAACAGCAAAATCTTGTACTCTTATTACCACTGATCCAACACTCTGCTCCCTTCAACACTTTTTTTTTTCTCTCTCAAAAATAAGTGTGTCCATATACCTAACCAGGTGAGTAGTGGAATATTATACTAAACACTGTTTGCCTTTATAGAAGGATACAGACTTTAACAAATTATAGTATGTAATGTGCAAAGAAGTCCAGTATGGTACAGGTATTGCACTGTACTTGCATTTCATAAAATAATTTATATACTGAATTTGTATCGGTTCTTCATGTAATTTTCTTCTAACTTTTAGAAAAGTGCAATAGGTAGTTTCCTTGGTTCAACAACGGCAGAAGGAAAATCGGATGACAGTGAAAGTGATCGATACGGTCAGTGGCTGAGACGTCGCAGGTTAGATGGAGCTCTCAACCGTGTTCCTCGCAACTTTTACCCCCGTATTTGGAAGATTCTAGAAAAGGTTTGTGTTGAACAGATGTTATACTATGCAGCTTCTTGAATATTGTAGTACCCTCATACATGACATCTCCTCTGCCTCCAGCCTTCTCCTTGTTGCAACATTCACAACCCATGCCTCACACCCATACAAGAAGAGCATAGTATATTGAGGATATCTCTCCAAGAGAGAACCCGCAGTAATGGATTTAAATTAGATAAGTTTAGATTTAGAAAGGACATAGGAAAGTATTGGTTTGGAAATAGGGTAGTTGATGAGTGGAACAGTCTACCTAGTTGGGTTATTGAGGCTGGGACCTTGGGTAGTTTCAAATTTAGGTTGGATAAGTACATGAGCGGTAGGGGTTGGATTTGAATGGGACTTGCACATCAGAGCTTATTTCTTGGGTAGCATTGAAAACTGGGTTTGGCAAATGTTTTGTTAGTGGGATGAATTGTAAAGGACCTGCCAAGTATGGGCCAACAGGCCTTCTGCAGTGTTCCTCCTTTCTTATGTTCTTATGTTCTTAAAATAATTGTTAGGCAACATCTCTTTATTTTTTAAAAATAGAGTTGCCTATATGGCAGTTATTACTATAAAGTTAAAAATACAGAAGTGTATAGTCATTTAGAGAGGGTGGAGCAAAATAGGATGACTTGGAGGATGTATAAATCTGTAGTGGAGACAAGGAGGGGTAGGGGTCATCACAGGAAAGGTTGGAGGGAGGGAGTAAAAGAGGTTTTGTATGCAAGGGGCTTGGACATACAGCAGGCATGTGTGAGCATGTTGGATAGGAATGAGTGATGAATGGTTTTTGGGACTTGAAAAGATGTTGGAGTGTGAACAGGGTAATATTTTGTGAAGGGATTCAAGGAAACTGGTTAGCCACACTCGAGTCCTGGAGGTAGGAAGTACAATGCCTACTCTTTATCCCTTAAACTGTCCAAGCTGATCTACGTTCACATGCGTAGTGCTCCAAAAGTAGACCTTCGTTTTTTTTTACATATTTTCAAATATAACAAAAAAAAAAAAGTAGATCAAAGTTTTTTACACGTTTTCAAATGTAAACAAACAAAAAAAGATCTTCTTTTTTTTACGTACTTTCAAATGTTGAAAAAAACGTAGATCTACGTTTGGACAGTTTAAGGGTTAAAGGAGGGGGTTTGGGCTATTTGCTGTTTGGAGTGACAACTGAACAGTCACATCTGCTCGTCTCTGCAAAGAGAGTAATGTGTGTGAATGTTGGTGAAAGTGCTTCCTTTTTTTTTTTTTCACCCTGCCTTGGTGGGTGATGGCCATCATGTGTGTAGTATATCAAAAACCAAATATTGGTAGCGTTATGAAAACTAGTCGTGTCTTTTTTTAGTAATCTGTACAAGGGGAAGTTACTAGCGCATTACTGCTGACATTTTAGTTGGCTTTTACAACACGCATGGCTTATGTAAGAATGATTCTTATTCTGCACACCACATTTGGTACGACAGTGATAGTGTGAAAGATGGTGAAAGTGTTTTTTTTTTTTTGTCACCCTACCTTGGTGGGAGACAGCCAGTGTTAAAAAAAAAAATGAATGCTAGTCAGTGAAAAGACAGAAAAACTCACTTGGAGACATTAATAAAACAAGTATTAAAGAGAGGACTGTATATTTTACCCTCCTTTTTATTATATCCCCAATGTTGGGACACCTTAGAGCTGTGGCAGGGAGACTTCTTTTCTGGGAGGAGTGACACTCCTCCTACAAGCTCCTTGCCTAAGAACTCAGCCTCTCTTTCGGCATAAATAGTGGGGATATTTTCCCTCTTGTCTAATTGCTCACGCTCCTGGCTGATAACATTATAATGTTTTATGGACATGTGTTGCAAAATGTAAAAAATAAGTTTTAAATAGTTTGACTTGCATTGTGATTATGACATGAAATATGAGAGTTAGTTGGTATTAATAGTGTAAGTTTGTAATGTTAGAAATGGAATGTGTTTAATAAAGCACTGAATAACCAAAAAGGGTCTGGTGCTTTGTAAATACAATAAAACAACAATAATCCCTTTTATTACAGTACTCTGCTACTAGATTTATTCATCTTTAAGGGAGTTAACAGTTCCATTAAAAACTAAGTTTAAAAAAATTGTTAGAGTAAACTTGTTCAGATTTTCTTTGATCTTTAAGGTCTAAATTGCTTATTATTGAACCTATCTTTGACTTCACTGTGTGGGGGAAGGGTTCTGATCCAAGGCACTGTATGCCTCTTACATATTCAATGCTTCCCTGTCAGAAATAATTAACACAGCCTCATTTAACTTAGTTCACTTTCATACATTCAGTAAACCCTCCATATATCAGCCTTTAGAAATATTGAAGAAAATCCACTTGAGTTAATCGATTCAGAACCATTGGTTATAGAATTGTCCATTATTGTGACTTATCACTGCAAAGCAATCTTCTCTACCCACCAGAGTTGCCATTACCAGTCACTTCTCCATCCCTCCCTCCCCATTAGTCTCTTATATGGAGATTGACTTTAATACAGTACTCAGCTTCAATTTGTGAAGGTCTCCTGCACACACACACAATTTATTTTTATTATATGTACAATTATATAAACCCATAAAAAGGTACACTGTATTATTAAGTGCAGAAGTGTATGACATGGAGCATTTTTAAGCTTGGTTTTATGTCTACTACTAAATTGTAAAAAGTTTGTGTATACCAAATTAAGAAGGTATATAAACAGTGTGAAAATTTTCATCATCTTCTTTGTAAGAATTTTATTTTTTTGTGCTAGCTCTTTAGCTCTTTGAAAATCACATGTATCTTTTTTTTTTTTTTTTAACACATCAGCCGTTTCCCACCAAGGCAGGGTGGCCCGAAAAAGAAAAACTTTCATCATCACTCATTCCATCACTGTCTTGCCAGAGGCAAAGCTTACACTACAGTTATAAAACTCCAACATTAACACCCTCCTTCAGAGTGCAGACACTGTACTTTCCATCTCCAGGAATCAAGTCCGGCCTGCAGGTGTCCTGAATCCCTTCATAAATGTTACCTTGCTTACACTCCACAGCACATCAAGTCCTAAAAACCATTTGTCTCCATTCACTCCTATCTAACACGCTCATGCACGCTTGCTGGAAGTCCAAACCCTTGCACACAAAGCCTCCTTTACTCCCCCCTCCCTCCAACCTTTCCCAGGCTGACCCCTACTCTTTCCTTCCCTCCACTTTAGATTTATTACACTCTTGAAGTCATTCTGTTTCATTCTATCCTCTCTACATGTCCAAACCATCTCAGTAACCCCTCCTCAGCCTTGTGGATAATAATTTTTAGTAATTCCACCCCTCCTCCTAATCTCAAACTACGGATTCTCTGCATTATATTCACACCACACATTGCCCTCATACATGACATCTCCTCTGCCTCCAGCCTTCTCCTTGTTGCAACATTCACAACCATGCCTCAAAACCCATACAAGAAGAGCATTGGTTTAACTATACTCTCATACATTCACCCTTTGCTTTCATGGATAAAGCTCTTTGTCTCCACAGATTCCTCGGTGCACCACTCACCTTTTTCCCCTAATTAATTCTATGATTCACTTCATCCTTCATAGATCCATGTGCTGACACATCCACTCTCAAATATCTGAACACATTCACCTCCTCCATAATCTCTCCCTCCATTACCTAATTTTTTTGTTATCCTCATCACCTTACTCTTTCCTATATTCACTTTTAATTTCCTTCTTTTACGTACCCTATCAGACTCGTCAACCAACCTCTGCAACTTCTCTGCAGAATTCCCCAGAAGCACAGTGTCATCAGCAAAGAGCAACTGTGACAACTCCCACTTTGTGTTAGATTCTTTATCTTTTAACCCCACACCTCTTGCCAACACCCGAGCATTCACTTCTCTTACAACTCCATCTGTAAATGTATTGAGCAACCATGGTGACATCACACATCCCTGTCTAAGGCCTACTTTTACTGGGAAATAATCCCCCTCTCGCCTACATACTCTAACTTGAACCGCATTATCCTTGTAAAAACTTTTCACCGCTGTCAGTAACCTAGTACGTACCTCCTATTCCATACATTTGCAACATCTGCCACATTGCCCCCTTATCCACCCTATCATATGCCTTTTCCAAATCCATAAATGCCACAAATACTTCTTTACCTTTATCTAAATAGTACAGTGGAATCTCTGTTTTTGTTTGCCCTGGTTTTCGTTGAATTCGGTTTTCAACGACTTTTTCATCAAAATTTTGTCCCAGTTTTTGTTCATCACCTCTGTTTTCATCGAGTTGACAGTGGTCCGCTGTACCTAACGTGTCTGCCCGTTGGCGCCCAGACAAAGCATCACGTGCATTCTGAGCCAGTCTGGCTTTGTTTCTCGTCAAGTGAGCATTACCCTGCACGTTCACCCAAAATGTTTCATAATAATCCATTTTTTTTTTTGTGCTTGTTTATTGAGTGCGACTGCTAAATAAGCCACCATGGGGCCAAAGAAAGTTCAGAGTGCCAGCCCTTTCATAAAGGTGAGAAACACAATAAAATTCAGTGGTGGTAGAGGGTGGTAGTGATTGTGGTAGAGAGTGGTAGTGATTGTGGTAGAGAGTGGTAGTGATTGTGGAAGAGAGTGGTAGTGATTGTGGAAGAGTGTGTAGTGATTGTGGAAGAGAGTGGTAGTGATTGTGGAAGAGAGTGGTAGTGATTGTGAAGAGAGTGGTAGTGATTGTGGAAGAGAGTGGTAGTGATTGTGGAAGAGAGTGGTAGTGATTGTGGAAGAGAGTGGTAGTGATTGTGGAAGAGAGTGGTAGTGATTGTGGAAAGAGTGGTAGTGATTGTGGAAGAGAGTGGTAGTGATTGTGGAAGAGAGTGGTAGTGATTGTGGAAGAGAGTGGTAGTGATTGTGGAAGAGAGTGGTAGTGATTGTGGAAGAGAGTGGTAGTGATTGTGGTAGAGAGTGGTAGTGATTGTGGTAGAGGCTGGTAGTGATAGTGGTAGAGGGTGGCAGTGATTGTGATAGAGATAACCTCTCCTCCCTCTCCCCTCCTTGCCCTTTTCCATACACCAACAAGAGTCTTCAATAAAAGTAAGTGTGATGTTAAATGTTCATTTATCCATTTCATTAGTCCTATATATGTTTCTCATTGTTTTCTCTATGGAAAACTTTAGTTATTCTCTATAAAATATATTTTTTGCTAATACTTTTGGGTGTCTGCAGTGGATTAATTGGATTTACAGCTAGCCCTCCACTTTTGCGAGTTCCACTTTCACGAGCTTTGAACATTTGTGAATGCCCAGCCTCCCAATCATATTTACCAATTTTACCATTTTATGATGTTTTCATGTTTTTAGATTTTTCATGGTTCAGTGGGTTAAGGAAGCAGTTTGTTAGGCTAAGAAATGCTATTACAGGGGAACCCCGCTTTCCGTTGGGCTTTTCAAAAATTTAAATCCGCATCCAATACTTTTTAAAACGCTAAGTTTTGCCTCGCAACGCTAAAAAAAACCTGTCAACGTTGTTGCCAAAGGGTTTTAATGTCGGCCTGAGCCAGCCCGAATGTTCCCCGGTGGCATTGTTTCCCAGCCAGCCTCCGCGGTAACACCAAGCAAAATGGGAACATTTCGATTTTTTTACAGTGTTTTTGGTGTTTTTATCTGAAAAAATAAGTGCCCATGGGCCCCAAGAAAGCTATGTGCCAACCCCCTACAGCAAAAGGGTGAAAATTTACTATAGATAAGAAAGAGATATTGCTAATATGAAAGGGAGTGGGGGTCTCCGGCGGCCAGGTTGTATAAAAAAACCCCCAAAACCATCGCTACTTTGTGGGCACAAAAGGGCAATCAAGCAAGCTGTTTTCCCAAAAGGTTAAAACGTTTTCGAAACGAGATCGCAAGTGATGGAAGATGTTGAGAGACTCTTATTGGTTGGAAAAATAAAAAAACGATAGCAGGGATAGATCTCTCAAGTGATCATAAGTGAAAAGGCTAGGGAAGTTTTTCATGACGATTTAATTAAAAAATGCCCGCAATAGTGATGATGTGAGGAATTTTAAAGGGCCCGCAAAGGTTGGGTTTTTTTAGAGTTTAAAAAGCGTTAAACATCATATGTATAAGGCATGGTGAGGCTGCCTTCGGACCCCAAAGCAGCTGAAAAAATGTAAGGAACAAGGGGTACAAGACATAAGGACTGAAACCTGAAAAGTCCTTAATTGTGATGAAAAAGGCTGTTTTGGAAAAAATTTCCAAGAAGGGGCCTACATTACTCAGGAGGAAAAGGCACTCCCAGGACATAAGCCTATGAAAGACAGGTTACTCTGTTGATGTGTTCCAAAGCTAGTGGTGTGACCCAAAAGGTGGTGATTGCAAAGTGAAGCCTTTATTAGTGTAACACCCGAAATCCCCGAGGTTTAGGCAAAGAATTCCTCAAAGGCTAAAAATTGTGGTGCGTGGAGGGCAAACAGTAAGGCATGGGTCACTAGGGCTTTTTTTTATACTGGTTTTACCATGCATTTTGCCCCCCAAAGTGAAAGATTACCCAAAAGAAAAGAAATTAGACCTTACGGCCTCCTGGGTTAGAAATGCCCCCGGTCTCCCACAGAGTGGAAAACGACTTTAGGGGACTGAGCTTCATTTTAAGGGGGGTTTTTGCCTCCTAATCATCCTCCCTGCAGCCCATGGACCCCAGGGTTTTTGCAAATTCAAAAAAAAGTAACAAAAAGCTCTTTTTTAAAGGTGCTTTTAGTGACCCCGAAACTCAATTGACTTAAGAGAGTTTTTGGGGAGATCACTTTTTAAAATCCTCAATTGTGTAAACCTTATAGGTAAGGCTGGGAGGGGGTGACTAAGAGGACTTTAATCTGCTTGGAAGAAACTGTGGCCAGAAAAGTGTAGACCAAAGGGATTTTGAAGGGTTTAGGCTAACCCCCGAGAAGTATCCAGTTGAGGAACCATTGTGGCATTGGGAAAGTCCCTTGGGGGGGAGGTTAGTGGGGATGAGTGGGAAAAGGGTTTGGGGGAGGAGGGCAATGAAAACAAAACCCCTGATGAGTGTAGATCAACTTCAAAAGCAAAGGCCGACCTGAGGAAACTGGTTCGGAGGAGGGGAGAGAGAAATTGAAGAAGTTGCCTACTTCAAAGATTAAGGAAATGTGTGGAATGTGGCTTAAAGTGCAAACCTTTTTTGATGACAGTCACCCTAACACAGCTATTGCAAGCCGTGCTGGTGACTATTACACTGACACTGTTGTGAAACACTTTAGGGAAGTCATAAAGGGACCCATACCCCCAGCCGGGATTGAACCCGCGGTCACAGAGTCTCAAAACTCCAGCCCGTCGCGTTAGCCACTAGACCAGCTAGCCACAATAAGATTCATCCAACTAGGTATATTTCTACACCATAGGAAGGTTAGCACAGGCACCACTGTGACCCACAAATGCAAGTTTTTACAGACGAATCTCCAGCTACGTGGCCGTGACGAACTCTAGCTATGTTTCACACTCATTTGGTAGGATGGTAGTACCTCCTGGGTGGTTGCTGTCGACCAAACCTACTACCTATGTATAAAGTACTCATTCTAAATATCTTAAATAACAAAAAAGGCACAATACCGTGACTGGAACAATACACAAATAACCCGCCGTCGTAAGCTCCTCTCTTCTATGTGCGGGTTATTTGTGTATTCTAAATATCCTTTATGGCAAATAACTGAAAAGTTTTAACCCTTTGAGGGTCCAGGCCCCCAGTTTGAAATTCCCACAGGGTCCAAGAATTTAAAAAGAAATATTTCTTATGATAGAGAATCTTTTTCTGAAGGTAATAAAACAAAAATGTATGAAATTTAATAAAAAAATTATGAATTATGCTCTTGAATTTTGCTGTCAGTTGATATTAACATATCGGCGATTTTGCCCATTTTGTAGTATTATTTTCAACCAATTACATTGTTCCACTGGACCAAATTCTTACCTATTTCACTTGTTATGTGTTCCATTTTATCTATTGAGTGCAAGAAATTGCCCAATCAACTATTTCAACTACTCAATAAAGTGATCGGAAGTTGGTAATATTGTCAGTTTCACACAAAGTTCAAAATTCCCGTTTCCAAATAAGGTCCAGAATAAACAATGCAGACATTCCTAACATGAAAATAACACTTCCTCTGTTTAATAGTTACATTTCCAGGCTATAGACATGAATTCCATTTTTATTTTTTTATACTCAAAGAATTTATTCACACCAAAAAATAGAAGATTTACTGTTATGCAATATTGTAATACCTCGAGCTACGAACTTAATTTGTTCCAGAAGGCTGTCCGAGTGCCAATACCAAACGAATGTGTTCCCATAAGGAATAATGTAAATTAGACTAGTCCATTTCAGACCCCCAAAAATACATTTACAGGAGCACTTACAAAAATACACTTACATAATTGTTTGAGTTGGGAGCTGTTTGAAACGTGAGGTACTACTGTAATTGATAAATAATATCAGCGCATTCATGAACACACATTAGACCCACCAGCTGTCATGGATTGTACACGTGATGTGATTTGTTTAGTTTTGAACATCTGCAAAAAATCGAATGTTTCTGCTATTTTTAAGCTCAATTTCAAGCTATTTTCAATACTAAAACCAATCAGAATCATATCTCTGTAACGCATCATCCATTCTATCAAATGAGACCGGGAAACCGCAAATACAACCATAAAAATCCATATGAAAATACACCGCAAGGTTGCTGTTTTAATCCATAAACACGGTTGCAGGTTTTTTCTCATGCACTGTGTGATGCAGGATTTATTTTATATGGTGCACACTTACCACACAGATGCATTCTGTCATCTAGGCCCAAATTTACCGCTCACGTCTGATCTGAGTGTGCTGAGCTTATGACGTAGTACCACAGCTTGGACCCTGGCTTCAAAGTCGTAGAACTACAGGATGAACTCTCGAAGGGTTAAAATTAGATTAAGATTTATATGTTATATTTCTGTGTTATAATTTTATATTTATATATGTAAGAACCATACTTAGCCAGTACAGTATATACTGTATATTAGGCAGATACACACAGGGTAAGAGATATATCGTGATACTTATACTTACACTTTGGTCACACTACACATGTATATACACACATCTATCCCAAAACCCATCTGGATTTTTTTCTACTTTCTTAATAGTTCTTGTTCTTCTTTATTTCCTCTTATCTCCATGGGAAATGGAACAGAATTCTTCCTGGGTAAATCATGCGTGTCATAAGGGGTGACTAACGTGCCGGGAGTAAGGGGCTAGTAACCTCTTATCCTGTATAAATTACTAAATTTAAAATGAAAAACTTGTTTTTCTTTTTAAGTCACCCTGCCTTGGTGGGATACAGCCACTTCATTGAAAAAAAAATTAGGTAGATGTTTTATAATGTTTTTTGCCTTGCTTAATATTGCTTTATTTTTCAGTGTCATGGAATCAACATAGAAGGCAAAGTAATACCACAGAGTCTTACTCAGGAGGTAAGAAATTTACATACAATTTATCCCTCAGAAGGTGCCGTGATGCCAGTGAAGGCTCTTGATCCAAGGAATTGGAACTGTCCTCCCTTTCCTTGGATCTAACCTGATTGCCTCTCAGATGCTGTATCATCTTCAAGGGTCTAGCCCTCTTCCTCCCTTCCCATAAATGTAATAATATTTATTTTTCAGGTTGTTTATAAAATATATTTTGAAAGTGGGCTGATGAGGTTGGTGTGATGACCCCTGGAACTGTCAGCAGGTAGCTTATACACGCACTTATAGCAGAAGAAATTTTTATTAAGACAGTGTTTACATAGGCTTGATCTGCTGTGTCTGCATATTACCCTTCTTGTCTGCAGTTTGCAGTACAGTGGAACCTCAGTTATCAACTGCACTACTTGTCAAACAAATCAGTTTTCAAATGAGGGGTTTGAGAAAAAATGTCCTGGTTTTTGTATGTTCTCGTGGTTGTCGACAAACAACACGAACGGCTTGGGTCATGTGCTCACTAACTCACATACTGTAAACATTTCTTGAGCTTTTGTTGTGCATCTTGTGTACATTTTTTGTTATTTTGCAGTTTTGGTGCAATTTTTTTTATTCTGAGATGAGCTATCATGGGTCCAAAGAAGGATAAAGAAATGAAAGCAAAAAGAGAAGTTGTTTAAAAAGCACTGTTGAGTTTAAAGACTTGGGTAATGTCCACTTGGAGATTTGCAGTGTCCTCAATGGATGACACTGTCATGCAAATTCTGGTGTCGTCAGCAAAGGAGGACACGGTGCTGTGATTTACATCTCTGCCTATGTCAGATATGAGGATGAAGAAAAGAATGGGGGTGAGTACTGTACCTTGTGGAAACAGAGTTTTTCACTGTGGCCTCTTCTGACTTCAGTCTGTTTACAATTACTCTTTGTGTTCTGTTTGTTAGGAGGTTATAGATTCATCTACCAACTTTTCTTGTTATTCCTTTATCATGCATTTTGTGTGCTATTTTACACCATGATCACACTTGTCGAGGCTTTCTCAAAGTCTGTGTATACTACATCTGCATTTTGTTTGTTCTCCAGTACATTCAAGACATGTCATAATGATCCAGTAGCTGTGAGAGGCAGGAGTGACCTGTTCTAAACCCATGCTGCCCTGGGTTGTGCAATTGTTGGGTATCCAAGAGGTTGGCAATCTTGCTTCTTGGAATCTTTTCAAAGATTTTTATGATATGGGATGTTAGTGAAATCGGTTCTATAGTTCTTTGCAGTTGCTTTACTGCCACCATTGTGGAGTAGGACTATGTCTGTTGTTTTTTAGTGACTGTGAGATGACCGTGTCTATGCTCTTTCTCCATAGAATAGTTAATGCACGTGAAAGGGGTTTCTTGCAGTTCTTGATGAACCAGGAGTTCACGAGTCTGGGCCTGGGGCAGAGTGCATGGGCATTTCATTTATTGTTTTTTAAGTCCTGTGGTGTTTGGATTATATAAAAAATTCTTGAATTTACAAATTTTGAGTCTCTGTCTAAAAAATTCATTTAGACTCAACCCTTAGTCTGAGTAACAGCTCACAAAACACCGAGTCATACTGCGACTTCAGTATTTCACTTATTGCTTTGCTGTCATCCATGTAAGTCTCATTTAAGTAAGGGCCCAATACTGGATGTGGTTTATACTCTAGATTTGGCATAAGAAAATAAATATTTTGTGTTTTTGTCAATATCATAAACCATACCCCCGGCCGGGATTGAACCCGCGGTCATAGAGTCTCAAAACTCCAGCCCGTCGCGTTAGCCACTAGACCAGCTAGCCACAATAGTGGCTAACGCGACGGGCTGGAGTTTTGAGACTCTATGACGCGGGTTCAATCCCGGCGGGGGTATGGTTTATTTGCAATCGTGTCATTACGATTTCTTGAGTCTTGTCAATATCATTTTGGCTTTAAGTTCTTCCTGTGTTTCTTGGCTCCTGTTTGATTCCTTAACTTAAATTTGATATTTTGTTTCTCTGGCCAGTGCTCCTTCCATATTGAAGATGTACTGGCCCCTTTAGCATCTCTGTTATTCTCTGCCTTTGCCTGTAGAGAGGGACACTCTTTCTCTCTTTTTTTTTTTAAAGCTAGGATTCCTAACTTTATTGACAGGTTAAGAGCTGATACCTACATCAGCTCAATTGAAAGCATTTTATTATGAAACATACAAGTAGGGAACAGGATAAGTTGGAGCCATCTGTGGGCCAGCATTTTCATTTGATCAACTGACTTTATCACGTTGACATCATAATGCTGTACAAATGTGTTCCATACTCGAGTCATCCTGGGGATAAATGATCTCAGATGAAGTGATGTTCTGGAGAAGGGTACAGCCAGAGTGAAGTTGCTGCTTTCTGCCCACCTTGTGGTTTAGAAGCTTGCTTCATGCTCTCCTCGAAGTGGATCCAATGTGGTACTTTGACAGTACATTGGCTTGTACATAACAGTAAGGCCACCCACATCCCTCCTGTGTTGAAGACTCTGCTGAAATGACAGATCTATCCAGGATTGGTCCAGGCGAGAGATGCGATGTTCTTGCTCTGTTCTTTACTCTGTCAAGCAGTCGCAGATGAGAAGGGGGGCAGGCGAACCAAGAAAGTGGAGCATACTCAAGGTGTGAGCGTACTTGTGCCTGTACAAAATCTTGCAACCCTGCTGTCAAGCAGATGCGAGATATGGCGAAGTGCTGTAAGCTTCCTGACTGCCTTGTTTGCAAGATTTACAGTGTGGTTTTTCATGGTCAGTTTGGAGTCAAATTTCCCCCCAACGATATCAACTTCTTTTCCAGGTGCCAACACCCTCCCATTCATCCTTACTACTGCACCGGCATTATCATCATGGTGCCTAGAGATCATCATCATTTGTGTTTTCTCAGGTGCAAATGTTACTTGCCATCTATTTCCTCAAGCTGATATAGCTCTTAGCTGGTGATTGATGTAGCTTAGAGCAGCTGTCATTTCTTCTCTTGGATAAGTGAATGTCAGTGTACAGTCATCTGCATATGCATGGGATTCTGGGATGAGATGAACAAAGTCATTGAAGTAGACATTCCATAACAATGGTCCCAGCACACTTCCTTGTGGAACACTTGCCCCAGTAGGATGTCTTGCTGATTCTGTTCCATTGAGAATACCCTTAGAGATCTACCATGAAGGTATTCACTGAGGAGACATAGCATAGAGCCTGCAATTCCCAGAGCTTGCAGTTTTGCTAAGAGGCCCGGGTGCCACCCTCAATCAAAAGTACCAGCAATGTCCAGTGCTACCACATAGCTGACTTTGGTTTTATCCAGTGACTGGTGCCATTTAGTGGAGAGGTTTAACAACAGATCTGCAGCAGAGTAACCATTCCTGAAGCCATACTGACAGTCACAAAGTAGTGAGTGGTAGTCAAAAAACTCTGTCATTTGTCTTGAGATTATTGTCTCGAGGAGCTTGCCAGTGATTGACAGGAGTGACACTGGCCTGTAGTAGCTGATTTCTGCTCTGCTCTTCTTTTTGTGAACAGGGACTACATTTGCCTCTTTACACTGTACTAGGCAGTGCTGAAAGATGCGAGTTAGAGGTGCTGCTTGCTGGTCTGCACATCTTCTCAGCAATCTTGGACTCAACTTGTCTGGGCCCACAGCCTTTTCTTGGTCAAGCCTTATTGTCACCACTGACAATTTTGACACACTTTGCTTAATCAGGAACTTGCAAAATGCAAAGTGTTCAGCAAAGAGGTCCACTTTCTCTTGACTACTAGTAGAGGTAGTCCCATCCATTATTAACCCTTTGAGGGTCGACAGGCCCTCTCCGAAACTCGTTCTCAGGGTCGGCCAAATTTCAAAAAAAAAAAAAATTATTTTTTCTTATGAAAAAATAGTTTTTTTTTTTCTAAACATTATAGGCTAAACAAAAAAATTTTAACGTCAATACTTACCGAGATATGGAGGCGTGAAATTTGCCAAAATTGAACAACATATGGTACATTGCCGACTGCCGTCACCCGGTATTTTTCTATTTAATATTTTATGTACTATTTTCAATTATTTTTCAATTTTTTTCTTTTTCTGAGTAACTTTTATGGCCTCTGAGGCCAACATGATCAGTATTTTGTAAGTTATTTCTTTTTCAATACTACACAATAAGGGCGTAAAACACTGTTGTCATTATTTTGTTTACAGAAAATATTTACACAAACAAACGATATGAAATGTTGTTTATTACTATTTTTCTATATTTTATATACACATATACAGTCACAGGGAATGTTTCTAGAAGTTCTGAAGCCTGTGGAACTCTTTGAAACATGGTGTCATGCACAGTGTAGTTTTACACTCCTCACACATAAAACGAGTGTCTCTGCGTTGTGTTTTTTTTTTTTTTTTGTATGTGCACAGACGTAACACCTCTTCTGAGCCTTTTTCTTCAAAGCAGTAGCAGGCAGTTTTACCAGGAAGTGATCACCATGCTTCAGACGAGCAGGTAGTTGTTGAAAATTTGGTGGGCGGTCAATTGCAGGTGCTGTTCCTTGGTACTTGAATACTATTTGTCTGTGACAGACAAACAGAATTCGCCGTACTGTGGTTTGTTTCTGGTGCTCATCTTATACATATTATAAGCATTGAGCATGGAAATGTCCAGAAGATGGAAAAACAGTTTGATGTACCACTTATAACTCTTGCGAACACAATCAGCAAACCCAATCTGCATGTCACATTTGTCCACTGAATGCATGTTGAAGGTGTAATCAATCACAGCTGCAGGTTTTAGAATGGGTTCATTTCTCTCTTATGCTGCCTGCCACTGTCTGCCATTTCATTAGGGTGAATTGATGACAACAGTGTGACATCTCGTTTGTCATGCCACCGAAATGCCATGATGTCAATGGCAGCAAATGCCTGCACCTCACCTCTACGTGCCAGCGTCAAACCTGGGCATATGTTTCCGATTTGCACGCACTGTGCCAAAACATCTGTCATGTTCACTCGCAAAAAATCACTGAGTGAGGGGCTTGTGTACCAGTTATCTGTATATAATATATGCCCCTATACCAAGGTATGGTTCTATCATTGTTCGAACCCATCACACTGAGATGCCCAATAACTTCCTGGTATTTTGCAATGTATAACTTCCAGTGTACACAATAATATCCAATACCAGACCACTGTAACAATCACAAGCACAAACAACTTTATACCAAAGCGTTTCCTCTTGCTTGGTATGTACTGCTTGAAAAGAGGGCTTCCTTTGAACAGAATCAAAGACTCGTCAATTACAAGCTTCCTGAAGGGATAAAAATGCGTACTGAATTTCTGTTTCAGATACACAAACACATTCCTAATCTTATATAACCTGTCAGTTCTGTCAGGCCTGGTTTTATCTGAGAAGTGAAGCATGCGTAACATTAGCACAAATCGATTCACTGGCATTATATCACTGAAACCTGGTGTTGCAATCAGGGGGTCTGTTGACCAGTATGATTTCACTTTGTGCTTATACACATGTGGCATAAGCATTATTGTGGCAAAGAAAAGATACATCTCAGCCACAGTTGCCTCCTTCCACTGGTGTAGACGTGATTTTGGTGAAAGTAATGTTTGCCATGGTGTACTCGTAGTATGTGTTGCTTTCCATGACAATACTTTTCATCAGTGGTTCGTCAAAGAATAACTCGAAACATTCCAGTTCAGTGGCATTGTTCCCAAGTGCACAAGATGGCCGTATTCCACTTTGGCTGTCATCAAACTGGTGGGGATTTGGAACAAAATTGACAGCTTCCTGCCAATCCCAGGTGCGGTCTGCTGGTGGGTACTGGACAATGACAGGTGGTTGTGGTTGTGGAGGTTGTGGTTGTGGAGGCTGGTGTGGTGGGTGAGTGGGGGATGGTGGCCTTTGTTCTAGATCAGCTGAGGCAGCGGCATGGGTGGCAGCGTGGCCCACTGCTGGTGCCTCACCGCCAGCACCACTACCACCACGCACATTTTCCATCCCAATTGCAACAGTATCTTCGTCATTTTCACTGTCTGTTCCTGTTGTACAGCCACGGGATGTACTCCAAGATACACTCCTTCCCCTTGGTATAACATATGGCACACTACCAGAGCGCATATATCGTCGTAGTATATACTGACGCTTCACTGGGGAATATTGCACTTCACTATCACTACTGGAACTAGTTTGAAGAGCTTGTAGTTCATATTCACTATCACTATCATCACCCATGCTCTCACCTGAGTCTGGGATTTGGGAAAATAGAAGTTTCCTTTTGGGTTCTGGAACAACTGAACGTGAACAAGAGGGCCCAGCACCAGAGGTGGAAGGCTGAGGGTCGTCTGGGTTTTCCTCACTATTACCGATATTATGGTCATTAGTTTTCGGTCAAAACCTCACTAAAACCACGAAACTCATCTTCACTGGCACTTCCATCACTATTAGAACTGTCACTGGGGAACAAAAGTGTCCCAATTCACCGAGGAGTGAGGACCTTCTTACCGCGAGGCATGGTGGACATTGTTTACTAAGAGGGCATTCCCACAATGCACCACTGGGTCCCAGATTTTTTTTCTACTGCGCACACCGACCACGCAGACCCATTCTCTCACACCTAGGCCTACCAGCCTTTTCGCGCGAGATTGAGGCCGCTAGAATTTATGCGTACTAGTACGTCAAAAACCCCCACGCATAAGACGTACTAGTACGACCAAAACCCTCAAAGGGTTAAGCAAAGATCAGGAAGGGTGAGTCTGTTTTGACCTAGGACATCTGGAGTAGTTAAAGAATAAGTGGAGAATGATCCTACATTAACTGCATATAAGTTGAAGATTAAGAGACATGTGGAACAGTTTGGTATCTTTATTGATGAAATGTTTCAACTACACAGTATGCTTCTTCAGTTAAATTTAGAGGGTGCAGTTTTAGTGAAATAAAGATGATGTAATCAATCCAGTCTTGGAGGAAAAGTATTTGAGGTTGGTCAGTTCCTCAGCCTGAAGAAGAGTTCAGCTCCATGGTCTGGAACAATATAGATAGGAGTGAATAAAGACAAGTGTTTTTTAATGGGTATGCTGTTGAGTGTGATTTAGGGAAACTGGTTAATCAGACTTTAGTTTTGGAGGTGAGAGAGGCAGTGCCTGCACTCTGCAGGAGGGGCAGGGATGTTGCAATTAGAGGGTGCCCGTAATTTGATTGTGATGTTGCACGCTTCTGGAAATATCGGCAGTTGAGTGACTGATGGTGAATGTTTTCTTCTTGGGATCACCATACAATGGTGGGAGATAGCCATTATGCGTAAAATCAAAAAAATAATGCAGAGTATAGAAGAATCGTGATATAAAAATTTGCCGTAATACCTAATCTTAAAATTGCTGCACTTATATCATTACTTGTAATACTTAGATTGATTAAAAGCTTTATCATATTTTAAAAGATTCTTTGATGAGTTATACTGTATATTATTTTTATTATATACTTGTACTACAATAGGTATCTTCTCTTACGATGACAGCAGGTGAATTGAAGTTTGCACTAGAGGTTTGAGACTGTACTCAATACCATCCCTCAGCCAGAATATAGACAGCTGGTTGTTGAGGTCAGCTTTACTCTTATTTTTTATTCATTTTATAAAATACATTAGATGTATGTTCCATGGAAATTTCTTGGGCCCTGAAATGTAAAATACAATTTAAAATTAACTGGGACATAAAATTGTATGGATAATTTACTCTTTAGCAGGTTTCTAAACCTTCAGTAAATAATAAATATTGAAATATAGTAGGTCATGTTGGTCACCCAAAACATTTTATAATAATAATACATTCCTGAAAATAATTTTTTCCATATTTTCTGGCATATGAAGTGCATGAGCATATAAGACGATGTTTCCAAGCAGTTTAACGTAACGTTAGTAAACAACTGCTGAAGTGTAACCGAAAGCGTACCTTTGACTCTGACCTTGAGCATATAAGGTGCAGGCTGATTTTCCAAGACTTTTTGTGGGGAAAAAGAAGTGTGCCTTACATGCCAGAAAATAAAGTGCAGTAGTGTTAGGATTCTGCAACCTGTTTTCCTAAGCATCAGAGACATGCCTTCCAGAACCATAAAATTTTATATCTGTTTTTTAATAAATATATTTACATGATTGAGAGTGAACATAGATAAGAGTAAGGTGATGAGGGTATTAAATGATTTAAATAAAGAAAAACTGGATATCACACTGGAGAGAGGAAGTATGGAAGAAGTGAATGTCTTCAGATATTTAGGAGTTGAATTGTCAGCAGATGGGTTTATTAAGGATGAGGTTAACCATAGAATTGATGAAGGAAAAAAGGTGAGTGGTGCATTGAGGTATCTGTGGAGACGAAAAATGTTATCCATGGAGGCAAAGAAGGGAATGTATGAAAGTATAGTGGTACGAACACTCTTATATGGGTGTGAAGCATTGGTTGTAAATGCTGCAGCGAGGAGGTGGCTGAAGGCAGTGGAGATGTCATGTCTAAGGGCAATGTGTGGTGTAAATATTATGCAGAGAATTCAGTGTGTGGAAATTAGGAGGAGGTGTGGAGTTACTAAAAGTATTAGTCAGAGGGCTGAAGAGGGGTTGTTGAGGTGGTTTGGTCATTTAGAGAGAATGGACCAAAGTAGAATGACTTGGAGAGCATATAAATCTGTAGGGAAAGGAAGGCGGGGTAGGGGGTTGTCCTCAAAAAGGTTGGAGGGAGGGGGTTGTCCTCAAAAAGGTTGGAGGGAGGGGGTTGTCCTCAAAAAAGGTTGGAGGGAGAGGGTAAAGGAGGTTTTGTGGGTGAGAGGCTTGGACTTCCAGCAAGCTTGTGTGAGTGTGTTAAATAGGAGTGATTGGAAACAAATGGTTTTTGGGACCCGACAAGCTGTTTGGGGTGTGAGTAGGGTAATATTTTTGTGAAGTGACTCAGGGAAACCGGTTAGCCGGACTTGAGTCCTGGAAATGGGAAGTACAATGCCTGCACTTTAACCCTTTGACTGTTTTGGTCATATACTACATATATGTCTTACGAGCCACCGTGTTTCACGTATATATATACTCATAAATTCTAGCGACTTCATATCAAGCAGGAGAAAGCTGGTAGGCCCACATGTGAGAGAATGGGTCTGTGTGGTCAGTGTGCCCCAATATAAAAAAAATCCTTCAGCACGCAGTGTATAATGAGGAAAAAAAAAACTGACTTTTTTTTTTTTTTAATTAAACTGCCAAATTTGTGGTCTATTTTCTTATAGTATTTTAAATTTTTGTATTCTCGTTTTCTTGGTCTCATTTGATAGAATGGAAAACGTATTATAGAAATAGAGGTGATTTTGATTGGTTTTACTATGAAAAGGACCTTGAAATAGAGCTCAAAGTAGGGGAAATGTTTGATTTTTGCCGATGTTCAAAAGTAAACAAATGATGTCATTGTCCAATAAATGTCCAAGTAGCATTCCTAATATGCAGTCATGAATGGGTTGACATTATTTATACAATTATTACAATATTGCAGTAGTCTGCATAAGAGTAATTCTTCTATTTTTGTTCTGAATAAAAATTCAAAATAGAAAGCAAGAATAATATCAGAGGGGCCTGGAGATGTGACTGTTGAACAAAGAAATTTTTATTTTAGAACCAGGAATGTCTTCATTGTTCATTCTGGATATTTTGAAATTGTCATATTTTTTTAATTTTTCGTGAATTGGCCAAATTGGAAATTTCTTACCCGTTATTGGGTAGTTGAAATCGGTAAATGAGCAGATTTCTTGCACTCAATCGATAGAAAAAATGGAGTTCTAAAGAAATACCTATGAGTTTGGTTGACTGGAACAATGGAATTAGCCGAAAATAGGGCTCAAAAGTGGGTGAAATCGCCGATTCGTAAATATCGCTGAGGTCGCTAACTTTGCGAGAGCCGTAATTCTGTCAGTTTTCCCATCAAGTTTCGTTCATTTGGTGTCAATACAATCGGGAAAGTTCTCTGTTCATTTCTTAATTTTTTTTTTTTTTGGGGGGGGGGATGTTTTGACACCAGGAAGACACCTTCTGATTTGGATTGCGAACAGCCAAGGGGTTAACCCTAAATTGTCCTAACATAGATCTACATTTACACCAGAACACTCCAACCTTGATTTTCCCCATTTGAAAGCATGTTAAAAAAAAAACATAGACCTACGTTTGGACAGTTTTAGTGGTAAAGGAGGTTTAGGACACTGCAGGTTGGAGGGACTACTAAACCTTTTTAGACTTGGTAACAGGCCACATTCCTTCATCCGACAATTCTAAAATTTAAAATTTGAAATCGAAGAAAGTGTCATACGGTTTTTTATGGAATGTGAAGCGTCAATCACGTGACAGCCAGTCACAGGCGTCAGTTGTTATCTCAGTGCTGTAGTGTTCACTACATGTGTCTGCTGTTCGCTGCCTGTTTTGTTTTTTTTGCTTTTTATTTTGTGTCTGTGTTTAATTTCAAACTGTGAAAATATCAAATAGAGCTGCAGATACCCCTATGGTAACAGTGAAAAAAAGAAAAGGAAGCATCTAACTTATCAGAACGCAGAAGTAGAATTACTGCAGGAAGCTTGATCGTGGTGTGGTCAGGCGGTGTCTTACTAAAAGAATATGGTGTTGGAGCTACCACTGTTTATGATTAAAGAAATGGTGTTTAAATAAAATAAGTATGAAAGATTAGTGATGTGTGATGATGATGACATTGTGAACACAGTGAAAAAGTCCCCCAATTGATAAAGTGAAATGATGATCAGTTAAGTCTTTAAATGCCGTCTGTCATAAGTGCTGCTTCATCACATGAGAATCATGTTTCCTGGTCTATAATTTATCCCATTATTTCATTTTTTTTTTTTTTTTTTTTTTTTTATTATTCAACAAGTCGGTCGTCTCCCACCGAGCAGGGTGACCCAAAAAAAAAAGAAAATCCCCAAATAGAAAATACTTTCATCTATCATTCAAACACTTTCAACCACACTCAACACATTATCACTGCTTTTTGCAGAGGAGCTCAGAATACACATTTAGAAGCATATACGTATAAAAATTACACAACAGATCCCTCCAAACTGCCATATCCCAACCCCTCTTTAAAGTGCAGCATTGTACTTCCATTTCCAGATTCAAGTCCGACTATATAAAATACCGGTTTCCATAATCCCCGTCCTAAATATTTCCTGCTCTCACCACACCAACAGACGTCAGGTCCCAAGTATCAATCGTCTCCATTCACTTCCTATCTTAAACACGGCTCATGCACGCTTCTTGGAAGTCCAAGCCCCATCGCCCAAGAAAACCTCCTTTACCCCCTCTTTCCAAACGCTTTCGAGGACGACCCCTACCCTCTTTCCGTTCCCCTATAAATTTAAAATGCTTTCCCATGTCATTCTGCTTTGATCCATTCTCTCTAAATGACCAAACGACCACCTCCACAACCCCTCTTCTGCCCTCGACTAATGCTTTTATTAACTCCACACCTTCTCCTAATTTACGGCGACAAGTGGCCGGGCAGATTGTTTCTGTCGCGAAATGTAGTTAGAACGTACGGCGCGGCACAGAGGGCGTCCATTTACAGTCAGCCAGTCGATGGGGAGTGCGGCGTTCTCGCCGGGCGCTGCTCAACTTGCGTCTCCTCCTGCTGCATTTACCACCCAAGCTTCACAGTTCCATATAAGAGTGTTGGTACTACTATACTTTCCACCCCCATACATTCCCTCTTTGCCTCCATAGATAACGTTTTTTGACTCCACAAATACCTCAACGCACCACTCACCTTGTTCCCCCTCAGCATTCTATGCAGTAAGCTCCATCCTTCATAAATCCATCCGCCGACACGTTCAACTCCAAGATTCTGAAAACATTCACTTCTTCCATACTCCCCTCCCCAATTTGATATCCAATTTTTCTTTATCTAATTCATTTGATACCCCTCATTACCTTACTCTTTTCTATGTTTCTATTTCAACTTTCTACCTTTACACACATCTCATACTCATCCCTACCTTTTGCAATTTTTCCCTTTAGAATCTCCATAAGCACAGTATCATCAGCAAAAAGTAACTGTGTCCAATTCCCAATTTGAATTTGATTCCCCATATACATTTAATCCCACCCCTCTCCCGAACACCCTAGCATTTACTTCTTTTACAACCCCATCTATAAATAATTAAACAACCCTGTGACATCACACATCCCTGTCTAAGACCTACTTTTACCGGATATTCTCCCTCTCTCTACACACCCTTAACCCAGAGCCCCCCCCCCCTACACAATCCTCATAAAAGCTCTTTACAGCATTTAGTAACTTTACCAACCTATTCCATAAACTTTCACATCTGCCAATAAATAAACCATAGTAGTATTTTGTATTCTTTATTTATTCCCACTTGGTGTGAGTATACTACGTTTATTGGGCTGCAGTGTTAATGTTTGATTAGGGGTACTGCCTAGACCCCAACTTTCATTTCCTGAATTCTAAACTCTACAGGCCCCAAGGTTTTCAGATAAAAGAAGTGTGCCTGTGGATGTTTGGTATAGGTGCAGCGAGTTTTTATATGTTTGCTACAGTTTTGTATCATGCATCCGTCTGGCCCAGTAGGCCCACACACTCCCGCCCTGCACTCTCCATATTCGTCAGATAACAGCAAACAGATTAAGGAAGGGAAACCAAAGTAATTTTTACCCAGAACATTATTAAAAATAAATAAACTTGACTAATTTGAAGGGTGGAGCATAATGCTATTTTTTGCACATATTCTTCACCTCAAACAGCTAATTTTCACAGGCTGCTGATTTTCAGGAATGTATTCCTTGCACTATCAGAAGGTCACATGTTTGGTATTTTACTAAATTATATTTTTTTAGTATAAGTAATGCACAATATGTCTCTATTCTAATTTTGCTTATGACAGCTTTGATGGTCTTGTCACTTGTTCAAGAATACACAATACAGAAAATCTTGGAGAATCTTGTGTCAGCTCAAACATCGTACATGTGGCTCACAACATTTCTTAGCAGATCAGTATGCTATCACAGAAACTGTTCATTTTGTGGAAAACTTGCAGATTTGGATTTATGCCTTTTTATTCATAAAATTCATTCTTTCAGAAATCCTTTTGACTTAAAAAAAAAGATGAAAATATATCTCTTTACAGCATCATTTATTTGTAAAAACATTTTGCGGCAATTTCTGAAATCCAAAATCTAAATTAATTTTGGGAGTGGCTGAATATTAAAAAAAAAATTTGGTAAGGAGATCATTCCAAACTCACACAGTATATTAGTTTTACAGATATTTATAATACAGGGGACCCCCGCATAACGATGGCACACATAGCGCTTTTTCCCGCATACCGATTACTTTTTATCGTAAAATTTTTGCCCCGCGCATACCGTTAAAAAACCCCTTACCGATTTTTCGTCCGAGACGCTCCCAATGTGCCCTCACTATTGCCGGCCGTCCCATTGTTTTACCACCAGCCTCCCCGGTAACATCCTACATACACTCGGACTATTTCGTATATTACAGTGTTTTCGGTGCTTGTTTCTGGAAAATAAGTGACCATGGGCCCTAAGAAGCTTCTAGTGCAAACCCTGTGGTAAAAAGGGTGAGATTATATGGAAATTAAGAAAGATTTTGTAGGGTTTGGGCTAACCCTGAGAACCTATGCCAGTTTGGAATCCATTGTGCCTACTTCAAAGATTAAGAAATTGTGCAGAGTGGGTTGAACTGCACACCTTTAATAGATGAAAAATCCCCTGACACCAGCTGTTGCAAGCGATGCTGTGACTATATCAATGATAAACAATGTTATGGCCCTTTTTTTAGAAAGTCTTGAAGGAACGGGAGGTACAAGCTCTATGGACAGATTTGATGTGCGACAGAGGTCCCAGTGACTCTCAAGCTGGTCCCCTAGTGGCATAAAAAGAAGAAGGGAAGTAACCGCCAGAAAAGGACTTGCTACCTCCAAGTCCTAAATGGAAGGGAATTCCCCTTCTAAACAGTAAGAAGATAATGCTCTCCCCCTCCCCCATCCCAACAATCACACCAGATCTCAATAAAAAGTAATGTCATGTAATTGTGCATGCCTTTTCAGTTTGGTGTGTATTAAAATTAACATTTCATGTGGTACAAAAAATTTTTTCCATACTTTTGGGCGTCTTGCAGCGGATTAATTTTATTTCCATTTATTTCTTAATGGGGAAAATCATTCGCAATAACGATATTCGCATAACATGACCTCTTGCACGGATTAAAATCGTTAACCCGGGGTCCCACTGTAATTCTTTTTATTAGTTAATATTACATCATCCTTTCCATTGTTATAGATGCCTAATGCCAATAATCTGTCCCCTAGTTCAGTTTTATGAAAACACGTATGTTTCCCTCTAACTAGACCAGCACTGGTTTGCAGCAGATTTAGAGACTAGAGCAGTACTGGAAAATAATTCAAAAAAGGGACTTCTTCCGAAGGAATTAGCATTTGGGAACAGTGGAGCCTGTGATTGAATCTCTCTTTATTACCCAAATGGCAGCATGTAAAGGGATCTAGGAAAAAAACTTGTGCTCTTTAGTAAGTTACATAACCACTCTTGTATACCAAACATTAAGGGATGTAAGTCATATTTCTGGAGAGTTAAAATGTGCTTTGGAGTCTGAAAAAACGTGACTGAGGAGGTGACAAAATTAGTGTGTATGGTAGCCATGAGTACGTATAAAACCCTGTGAAATTGCTTGCTGACTCAAGTAATGTCCTTGGTTTACTCTAGTTGGAAAGGCAGCCACATACCTTACCTTCATCCGATGATTTGAGCATAATTGGAGAGCACAGTTTATGGCAAATATGTTTGCCTTTTGGGCATGAATGGTGGAATGAGCACACATTATTTCTGGAACTCTCCAGAGTAGGAAGAGTATGATATTGGTTGAATATAATATAATAATATATTATTTCTAAAAAGTAAACTATACAATTTGAAATAATAAGTAAGAATACTATCTAAAAGGTTATATACATTTTGATGTACATGGTACCTCGAATTTCGACCTTAATGCCCGTTCCAGAAGCTTTTTGAGTGCCGATACCGAATGAATTTGTTTTCCCATAAGAATATTGTAAATTAGAATTAGTCTGTTTCAAGGACCCCCCAAAAATAACACTTACAAAAGCACTTACAAAAAAACACTACATAATTTGTTCGAGTTGGGAGCAGTTTGAATATTCGAGTACCACCGTACTGTCACTTGACATTATTCACATACATTATAAAAAGCTTCCTAGGCTAGACAGAGCATTTCAAGCACCCTTTACATTAGCTTATAACTTTTTTTTTTTTTTTCAACAAGTCGGCTGTCTCCCACCGAGGCAGGGTGACCCAAAAAGGAAAAAAATCCCGCAAAAAATAAAATTCTTTCATCATCCTTCATCACTTTCACCTCACTCACACCATAAATCACAGTTTTTTTGCAGAGTGCTCAGAACACAACATTTTAGAAGCATATACTATACAAGATACACAACAAATCCCTCCAAAATGCTAATATCCCAAAACCCTCCTTTAGAGTGCAGCATTGTATTCCCATTTCCGGGAACGCAAGTCCGGCTATATATAAATAAACCGGTTTCCCTGAATCCTTCACTAAATATTACCTGCTCACACTCCAACAGATCGCAGGTCCCCCAAATACCATTCAACTCTCATTCACTCCTATCGAACACCTCATGCACGCCTGCTGGAAGTCCAAGCCCCTCGCCCACAAACCTCCCTTACCCTGTCCTTCCAACCTTTTGAGGACGACCCCTACCCCGCCTCCCTCCCCCACAATTTAAATCTCACCATGTCTTCCTACTTTGATCCATCCTCTCTAAATACCAAACCACCTCAACAACCCCTCTTCAGCCCTCTGACTATTACTTTTATTAACTCCACACCTCTAATATTCCCACCCTCCGAATTTTCTGCATAATATTTTACACCACACATTGCCCTTAACAAGGACATCTCCACTGCCTCCAACCGCCTCCTCACTGCTGCATTCACAACCCAATCTTCACACCCATATAAGAGTGTTGGTACTACTATACTTTCATACATTCCTTTCTTTGCCTCCATAATAACGATTTTTGGACTCCACAATGTACCTCAACGCACCACTCACCTTCTATGATTAACCTCATCCTTCATAAATCCATCCCCGACCACGTCAGCTCCCAAGTACATGTATCTGAAAACATTCACTTCTTCCAGACTCCTCCTCCTCAATTGATATCCAATTTTTCTTTATCTAAATCATTTGATACTCGCATCACCTTACTGTTTTCTATGTCACGTTCAACTTCTACCTTTACACACACCTCCTAAACTCATCCACTAACCTTTGCAATTTTTTTCTTTAGAATCTCCCATAAGCACAGTATCTCAGCTAAAAGTACTGTGTCACTTCCCATTTTGTAGTCTTTCTTTCAACACACCGGCTGTAGCCCACCGAGGCGGGTGGCCCAAAAGGAAAAAACGAAAGTTTCTCCTTTTACTTTAGTAAATATACAGGCGAAGAGGTTACTAGCCCCTTGCTCCCGGCATTTTAGTCGCCTCTAACAACACGCATGACTACGAGGAAAGAATTCTGTTCCACTTCCCCTGGAGAATAAAGGAAATAAAACAATAAACTAGAAAGAAAATAGAAGAAAAACCCAGAAGGGGTGTTATATATTATGCTTGTACATGTAGTGTCGTGTGACCTAAGTGTAAGTAGAAGTAGCAAGACGACCTGAGAATCTTGCATGTTCATGAGACAGAAAAAAAAGGACACCAGCAATCCTACCATCATGTAAAACATTACAGGCTTTCGTTTTACACTCACTTAGCAGGACGTAGTACCTCCCTGGGCGGTTGCTGTCTACCAACCTACTACCTAGGATTTTGTATTTGATTCCCCATAATTTAATCCCACCCCTCTCCCAACACCCTACATTACTTCTTTTACAACCCCATCTATAAATATATTAAACAACCATGTGACATTTACACATCCTATCGAAGACCCTACTTTTACCGGGATGTAGCACGCCCTCTCTTCTACACACCTACCTGAGACCTCACTATCCTCATAAAATCTTTTACAGCATTTAGGTAACTTACACCTATGCCATCATACTTGCAATCATCTGCCACATTGCTCCCCTATCCACTCTATAATATGCCTTTTATAAATCCATATATGAAATAAAACTTCCCTACCATTTTATCTAAATACTGTTCACATATATGCCTTCAATGTAAACACTTTGAATCTACACATCCCTACCCACTCTGAAACCTCCTTGCTCATTCTCAATCCTACATTCTGTCTATGCCTCTAATTTCTTTCAATAATAACCCTACCGTAACACTTTTCCTGGTATACACCAATAAACTTATTCCTCTATAATTTTTTACAATCTCGTTTCCCCCTTCCCATTTATATAAAGTTACTATACATGCTCTCTGCCAATCCCTAGGTACCTTCCCCTCTTTCATACATTTATTAAACAAAAGGACCAACCACTCCGAACACTGTATCCCCCCATGCATTGTAACATTTCTGTCATGATCCCATCAGTTCCAGCTGCTTTACCCGCTTTCATTCATCGTAATGCCTCATATACCTCCCCCACACTTACATTCTGCTCTTCTTCACTCCTAAAAGATGGTATACCTCCTGAACCAGTTCATGATATACCGCCTCCCTTTCCTTCCTCTACATTTAAAAGTTCCCTCAAAATACTCTTGCCATCTACCTAATACCTCCCTCTCCCCATTACTTACATCCCCTACTCTGTTATTAACTGACAAATCCATACGTCCCTAGGAATTCTTAACTTGTTTAACTCCAAAAATTTTTCTTTATTTTCATAAAAATTTCTTGCAGTGCTCACCCACTCTATCAGCTGCCTCTCCTTGTGCACTCTCTCATCCCACTCTTCTTCACCTTTCTTTTAACTCTCCATATACTCTGCTCATCGTTATAGCACTTC